AAAGTATTAACTTTTCTGATTTTTTATCAGAGAAAAAAGAAATTGAAGAAATGACTAAAAGAATCAATCAAAAGGAATCAGAGGTGTAAATATTTTAAAGTCAACTTGATTAGATTAATCAAGAAAAGCTAGAGAAAGAAAAATAATCTAATTTACGATTAGAAAAGGTATTCTCTTAAAATATTTTATTAATAGATTTAAGATTATACAAAAACTTTATTCTTTTCTAATATTTATAAGGGTGCGAATTGTTAAGTAAGTTAGGGTGGAAAAGTTGCTGAATGTTTTGGTGATTGGTTTTATTGCTTTTGTGAATAAGCAATTCCAAAGAAAGGGAAAACTCTGTTTGCCTTCTAAATGATCGATGGAACTTAATTTGAGGTTGGAATAGGATTTAGGGATATTATATTAAAAAATAATTATCGCGATTCAGGAGTCGGGTATGAGAATTAAATTCAATCATAATAGATCATATTTGTTGAATTATCTTGGATATACTTATTCTCATCATAACTAACATGCTAATAACAAAAAATTATCATTCACATTTACAACAAATGATGTAATAATAATTGAAGTAAGTATTGAACATAAGTATATTAAATGGACGAGATAGAATAGTCCATTAGCTGTTGTAACTATTAAAATTTTATTATTAGCTCTAAATAGATACATCCATATCATAAGAATTATATCCATGTGTTTCGATTAATTAATCTAAAGTTAAAATATTGGATAACATCCAAATTGATATTGGGAATTGAAATAATATAGAAGAATAATATCAATTAAATATCAATTTTATTTTTTTTTTAAATTGTTTAAAATATTAGAAAGCAAATGTTGCCAGAAGAAATTTAATTCCTAATTTACTCAAAGAATTGCCCTAATTTCACTCAGTTTTCTGTGTTTTGTGATTGTATCTATTGGTTTTGATTATCAAGCAAAAAAATGACATTCTCTCAAAAAAAGAATGCCTCCTAAATTTGTTGTTTAAACATAGTTAAATAGCCAAAAAAAGATTAAAATAATTAATAGGAAATCTTCAATGAGATGAATTAGAAAGTTTAAAATAATTATACTTTACTTAAACCTTTGATTTTATGATCTCAAAAAATAAATTATTGAATAAATCGGTTTTAAGTTATTCATTTTGCTTAAAAAAGTATTAAAGACTTGTTTAACATAGAAATAATAGTATTATTCGAAGATTTGATGCTGAAATTA